GCCGCCGATCATTTCCTGTCAATAGGTTCACGGGGGTTTCCCACATGCTCAGAACCCCGCCTCCCCCTTCCCTTCGCGGCTCGGCGCCGGGCCGCGGCTGAGCGGAGGCGAGGGCAGGGCGGGGCAGGGCTGGGCGGCCCGGCGCGGCCTGCGCAGAACGGCGAGTTTCCGCTCGGCAGCTCCCAGCCCACAAGCCCCTCGCAGCGGTGGAGGGGGGAGATCAGCGGGAGGGAGAGCGAGCGAGAGAAAACAATTTTCTGTTTGCCAGATCTGCCCCAGCTCTTCAGAGGCAGCGAGCTGCCAGAGAGAGAGGGACATCAAAGCCGCCCAGCGCCAAGAACACCAGAGCCCGGGAAGGGGCAGGGCCGAGCGGGGCTGTGCCTGGATTCGAGGGACCTGTTCCAAGAGTGGTCCAGGGGGCAGATGTGGGGGTGCTCAGCACCCCCTCTCCAAAGAAGCGGGTGTCTGTGCCTGCCCTGCGGCTGCTTTCCTCACCTCCTTGAGTTACATTTTACACGCAGCTGCGTAAGGCACTTTTTCACATATTTGCAACCCATCTGCATGTGCGAAAGAAAGGAAAGAGAAAAAGAAAGAAATGAAGGAGAAAAGGAAGGAAGGAAGGAAAAAGAAAAGGAAGGAAAAGAAAGGAAAATTTAGCACTCTCAAGAGTTGTCATCTTGACAGCCCTGGTAGATGAAGGATACTCTTCATCCACAGTTTCCCAGCTCATTGCTTGTCAAAATGAGATCTTTCTTTGGGGTCTACATAAGGGACTTTTGGGGGACCAATACATCCCCATGGTCAGCTCTTGCCCTTGCCACTGAGACTGCCAATTATTATTCCTGTTGGTAGTATAGAAATAATTGTATCTATTGTATAAATGTTACTTATTTCTACATTTATTGTGTTACCCTAGTTCTTAGGAGACCTTCGTGTGAAACCAGGCTCTGCTATACTACCTAATGCCCAACAGACAATAAAAGGTTGGTCCCTATTCCAAAGCACTTACATTTAAAGTACAAGCTGACAGTCTAGTGCTAAGCATAATGTATGGGAGTTTGCGAGAAAGAAGGAGGGGGATGAGGGCAAACATTTCATAGAGGACGGCAGCCGTGAGGACATGGATTGTTTCTTGGAGGATGTTCCAAACACACATGAACTTTTAGGCACAAAGATGGTACTGGGCAGTGTGGGCTAAAGGATAGTTAAGGGTAGCATCACTAGCAGAGCAGAGGGCATAAAGGTGCTAAGTAATTTAGACTTAGAACTATTTTACAAGCGGAAATGAACTTGCATAGCTATAGCAAAATAGTTATGGCGATTATAGGCCCGTGAGCCTAATAAGAGAGAGAGATCACTATAGCAATAGCTGCAGTCATGCCATAACTCTCATTAAGAACACTGCATTCCAAAATCAGAGTGACTTTATTTCGGAATAACTGCTCTGCTTCGGAAACAAGACAATTATTCCACAATAAACTCCCTTTCATTCTGGAATGGAGTGATCATTAAGAGGCAACCTCCTTCATGGAATGGACACATGACAGAGGGGCAACACTCAGGCCATAAACCTGGAGCAAAGTGCATTGTGATGATAACTCTACACAGGCAAGCAGGCAGCCCAAAGTCTTAAAAACACCTAGGCTGTGCATGGAAAGGTAAGCATTTGAAATTGTGAGCAAACTGGCCCTGACTCACCCAGAGGTACATTTTCCACTGTCAGAGTAGAGCTAGGCTTGTATCATGTGCTTATAGCCTGAGGTCAGGGACACATCAGTAGGGAAACTTCAGCTTTACTGAGAAAAGGGAAGTTTGAACACATGGTACAGTCCCTTGAAGTGAGATAAATCTGCTGTAGCTAACCACTTCTTCCTCAGTTGCAATGAGGCCCATCCCTTGAGGACTTCAGGCCAGGGCAAGGTAATTCCTTCTTGTAATAGCCATTTACTTGTACATTTACTAGCTGTCCAAAGGCAGCTGCATCCAGACTTTCACTTCAAGGTTACATATCTTGGGGCAGCCTCTCACTGTGTTGTTGACCTAAATGTACAAGTGCAAGCTAAATTGATGCAGCCAGTTTGAACAAGGAAAAGAATGTCCTGTTCAGTTTATTAAACTGCCCCTGACAAGGGGATGTCCCTTGTTTATGGAGATAATCCCCCATTCTCCTTTTCTGGGGAAAAAGAAGCAGCAGAAAAATGATTTCTTAGTGCATGGTGCATAGGAGCTCTTAGTTCCCTAGTATGATAAGGCAGCAAGATAAGTAGGTTGGTAAAATGAAAAGTGGTTATAAAATGTAGGGGTCTCAGTTCAACATGTGAAGGAAAATGACACTGTCATTAAAAAGTCACTTAAAATATTCCCCTCTGTAAAAAAGAGAAATGTTATACCACAAACAAATTTGTTACATTCCTGTGTGTGATGATAATACACTATATTCGTTGTCTTTATTGTCTGGAATGACTCAGAAGCACCAAGGCAAATGTAGCCTACTGTGTCTTTTGATTCAAGTGGTTAAAGTAAAAGGAAGGCATTTCAGATATTTTGGTTACTACCTTATTTTCTTTAGAAGTCAGTAACAACATGGTTTCCTTATGAAGTCAATAATTACATCATTGTTTCCTTTCAAATACATTCATGACATTGTTTAATGAATAATAGCTTGCACATAGATAGTGTTTTTCATGCAAGCTGCTCAAAGGACTTCGCAAAAAGGAATTGGTCTTTTACAAAACGGGAAAATGATGCATAAGGGGAGGAAATGACTGACCCAAAGTCAAAGTTGGCAGCAAAGTAAAGTCTAGAACAGGGGTAGACAACCCCTGGCACAGGTGCCAGCGTGTGGCACACTAAGGCATTTTGTTGGGTACATACACCTCAGAGTGGACAGCAGAGAAAGAGCCGGGGTGCACTGCCACCACAAGGATCAGGCCCTTTGCAGCTCCCCCATCATCCGCCCTTGGCACACCAACGTCTTACAAGTTGAGGTTGGAGGTGTTTTTGGCACTTTGCCCAAAAACATTGCCGACACCTGGTCTAGAACCTATATATCCTGTTTATTGTTGCCTTGCACAATTACCTAAATAAGCTGTGGACATGCTTCTGTGTCTGAATAACACAAGGCCCATCCCATGAGACATCAGACATACAGGTAAACCTGCTAATAAAACCTGAACACTAATCTAGAGGTCTAGTCTAATGTGCAGTTGCCTTCTAACTTATCAGTACAATATCATGTAAAAGTATATGTGATCCTATAAAATCTGGCATCTTGTTGGTAATATTTTACTTGTTTAGGGCAGAGAAAAAGACCAAGATAAAGAGCAGAATTGTTTCTTGGGGGTGTGGTTAATGCAAAATAGGGGCAAAGTTCTTAGCTTTTCCTTTTAAAACACTATATTACAAACATAGCAGACGTTCCTGTTCAAACAGAAACTTTGGCTTTTCTGACAAGAGTTCAGGGGCCCAGCTTTCCCTCTGCAGGATAGTAGGAGCTCTTGAGGCTTTAGTTGGGATTCCCTGAGTCCTGCTCTCTGGAGACCTATATAACGTAGAACAATTTTAAAACTACCGTGCATTGAAGATCTCAACACATTTTACAACGGTAACACCCCATATTCTTATTCTCTGGGTCAAGGAAATCTCAGGATTATGACACCCCAATTGTGTCTTACTTTGGGGATGGGTTAATTATTGCCGGGAAACAAAGGCACTTTTGCAGGGAGAGAGGGAGAAATTGATTTAAAATGATATCTTTTAAGAGCCGTCCACATGTTGGCCAAACTGGTACATAAGCCTGACCAGGACAGGAAGTCAGAAGCTCAGAGCTGTCCAATTAGGACAGTCTGAATATGGGAGATTTAAAAAAAAATGAGTAAGATTCAAATTGTCACATTGAAAGATGGGGTCAAATAATGGTCTACTACAAGTAATACATAGAGGGCCCAGGTGACACAGGCACTGTACAAGCATAGAATAATAGCCAGTTCCTGTTATGAAGGGCTAGCAGCCTAAATAGTTAAGGAAAGGGGGACAAAGTCCCATGATTTGCCCAGTGTCTTGTAATTGGTTGATGACAGAGCTGGGACCAGAGCCCGCTTCTCTCAGTTCACAGTAGGATCCGAAATAAGGAAATGCTAATAGGCAAAATTTTAAGGGAAGTCACATTAGCTTTTTTCAGATTCAGTAATATGTATATCCTCCTATTTGTGATATTACTCATTTATGGTGAAGAACAGGAACTATACTGCCAGATCTTGGTGGGAAGAAAGAAACTGCAGATCTAAACTGAGGAAGGAACTTTTTAGAGACGGAGCAAGAGGGATACATTGATTGTGGGAGGAGCAGAACATCCCTGTGTGCAACACTAACTGTCATGCCCATCTGTAGCAGATGGCCCTTACCAAGGAGAGGAAGCTAGGTTCTGCTGCCAGCTAGTGGATTTGCTTCCTTAGCTCAAGTGATAAGAGGCTCGTGCTTTGATGGCACAGTTCCTGAAGTCTGTCACTGATGGTAACTCAGGGAGAGGTTATTACTTTTCCCTTTACATTCACTTCTCCTTACAACCTGCCTTTGTGGAAGGAGGCAAAACCTCAGACAGAGCAAATTACTTTGAAGAAATGTCTTCATTATAGAGAGGCATAGATTTGCTTTCCCCTGTATAGACAAGACCTGCCTTACTTGGAATCAGATGGGTAATGATTCTTACTCCTGCCACTTTCATGTGCTAGTTTCACTGGCTCCATTTCCCCACAGAGGCAGGACCTGAAGGCATTATTAGGTATAAGGAAGGGCTTTAATTCCTAGAAGAAGCTATGAGAGAGAACTGTGATATCATGTAGATGTGTGAGTCTATTGCCAGTCGGTCAAACACAGGAAGCCCAACACATTCTTACCTTGACAGTTTGCTTATGTACTTCAGCTACTAGTTAAGCTTGACTTAAATGTCCTTTGTCTAGTCCAGAAAAGGTTTAAACTCTTTTGAAGCACTTGCTGTAACAAAGTTTAAGGTGATTTGATCCTTGTACAGGGCTTTTTCCCCCCTGTTTTTCTATAATGACCAATGGGTTTTTTTAAAAATAAAGTAGCTACAGCATGAACAACATGAAAAGTATGTTAATGTGCAGCTGAACTCTGAAAATATGATTTTGCAGGCCATTGTGCTCATTTTACCTCAAAAGTTCTCATATCGCAGCTACTCTGTCAACAAGTAAAAGGAAGTGTCTTTCAAATACCAGTGAAACACGAAGTGAATTCTGAAAGTCCAGCTGAGCGTGAGATCACCAGTAAGACTCTTGACACTCAGGACAAAGTTAACAATTATGTGCATGATGCATGCGCCAGAGAAGGATCCAACTTCTCTTAGAGTATTAATCTCTGTCATGCTAGCAATCGTAACAGTTTTTATAAGTCAAGCCAGCAGTTATGATTTAGATATACAAGAGGCTCAGTTCTTTTGCATCTGTATGTGTTTTACAGAGCCTCTTCCCTAAACACAGCCACGCAGTGGGCGGGTCTACATGTGTGCTTTAATGTGCATTAGCCTATTTTCATGTTCATTAAAGCATCACAAAAAATCTGTGCACTTTTGCTAATGCACATTAAACTAAAATAATGTGCTTTTTCCTAGTACCTCGCAATGAAAGTACTAAATTTAATGCACATTAGCAAAAGCGCATTAAGGACTGTGTAGACATGCCCATTGTGAAACACCTGTTGGGGAAATACTAAAGGGACCATATAAATTTGTTAGCTTTAGCTCTTAGTTTTCACAGTTACAGCTTTGCCCTACTTTTGCTCAAGATGCAGGCATGCTCTTTCCTTTCTGACCTATCCTTTCCTCACCATAGGGATTAGTTATGTAAATTGGGATTTAATCCCATGAAGGCAAATTTCAGTTCAAGTCCAAGTGCTTGTTAGCATGGCCAACTGGAACCAAGACCATCAGGGGACAGAGGATGTTTAGCATTTTGCCCTATAGCCTAAAACAACTTTAAGCCACAAGTGTCTTCTTCAGGTTATAAAGGCAATCGGACAGATTTTTTTCTTTTAAACAAGTTATAACACAATAGATAAAAGAAAAAAAAAGGTGGAGGGAGGGAACCCTCCTAGAAAAGTGAGCTAAGGCTCAGTGAATTTCCAGCAATGTGGTGAACGTATTGTCTGCCCCTGTAACTCTCAAAGGAACGTAATAAAAGGAAGACAGCAGCCCAGCAGGCAACTTCTAGGGGAGCCGTCTGCCTTCCAGCCCCTTGATGTAACGCTTGAACAGGTGCAATATAAAGGATGCTAAACTGGTTATTATTAAGGCTGTTGGAATGGGTTTCCTTTTTGCTGTCTGATGTGAAGATTTTTTTAAGGCACTGTATTAAGGATATATAGATCACCTACTCCACTGGAAAAACCATATTTGACGAGAAAAAGAAGAGCTGCCAGTCTAATTGGTATTTGTCATGATTATCCTCTTATTTACACTACTGTAAAACAGGAATAATTGTATTGAAATCAGTGGAGGGATATACACCCATAAGAGGAGGAGAACCAGAACCACTATTATATTTCTGCTGAAATACTGGCAGTTCCACTGACTGACTCCAGAGCAAAGATCTGAACTCTTGGCCACTCACGTTTGTATAACTGGCCTCAAAGATTTTGACATGTCTGCCTTTGTGGGAATTCAGAGGGGCTTTTCTTCTGCTCGGGAGTTTCTGCACTTCCAAGATTATCTGTACTTAAAGCTTGGAAGCCACACAAAGAATCAGAGAAAAGATTTCATGCGGTTCAGTGACTTCATGGTTAAACTTCCCAGTCAAGATACAACGTTCTCTTCTTCAGCTATAATGTACATTATTTCTTTTTCACAACAACAAGGGTTTACATGAATGGAACTTGGAAATATTAATGCAAACTACCCAACCTTAAAAGTGTCTTTTTATTGACCGTGTGCTTTTTCATTCCATTACCCAAGCTAATCTGGGCCATAACTTGTACTACTATAATAGTTATGGAATCTAATTCTGAGGGCTCCTCTAGGCACCATCTAACTCTTTGCAAAACTGTTCCCTGAACTAAGTTCTATTACTTTGCACACTCTGCCTTCTACTGCTCTGCTTTCTGTTACAGACAGGGTTGTCAATTGGGTAAGTCACTGGGAAGAGAATCAAGAGATCCCAGTTTCGTAGGTGACTGGGGATGGCGGTGGGAATGGAGAGACACATGCCCCACTGACAGGGCCATCCCTGCCACCTGCACTGCTGTTGGCTTCTGTGGTGCTTGCCAGCCCCATCTGCACTGCTGATGCCGGCTTCTGTGGGTGCCCCCCCAGACTCAGAAGGCACTAGTCACCCATGCCCAGTTTCATCCCTAGCTCCCACCAGCTGTAAAACTTTAGGCCAGCTATTTCTGTTGTTGTTCTTCAGGTTCCTTCCTCACTTTTTTTATTTTTACTTTAAGAACCTCAGGACAATGACTACATCCCACTACATGACTGTATACAATGCACTAGTCTTCGTTTGCACCTCTAGCTGCTTGTGCAATATGGTAACCTAATCCCATGTAGTTTTGCTTCTTATACAGGGTCTTCATAACATCCTTGTGCACAACCTAAGTTACTAAAATTTAAAAGTGCACAAGGACTTTATGAAGCCCCCGTACTATGATGCTTTCTGATCTGCTGTTTAGGTTTGATCTGTAACATCTCTGTCCCAGTGGGTGCATCTGCACAAGATGCTAACTGTGCAATAGCCTAATAACACTGCACAGTAGTGCATCACAGCACAAAAAGTGCTAATACGCTACTGCACAGTATTGTTAGGCTACTGTGCAGTAGTGTCACCAAAAAGGTGTTCATTGGTGCTACTGTGCAGTAACTCTGGTTACTGCACATTTATTTAGTACTTGGTTATACAAGTACTAAATTAAATGTGTAGTTACCACTGTGATTAATGAATGTGTAGACATGCCCAATGCTACTCAAAGGGCCATTTTTCTCCCCATTCCTTTGGAAAGATACCTTAGCTAAACGTGCCAATAGGTTTCAAAGGTGTGGGTTGTAGCCGTGTTGGTCTAAGGCAGGGGTGGACAATTATTTGAAGCGGAGGGCCGCTTACTGAGTTTCAGCAAGCCATTGAAGGCCACATAACAGGCAGATTAATATTAATTTTTTAGGGGCCCTGTGGGCCGGATAGAATGGCCTGGCAGGCCACATCTGGCCCCCAGGCCACATTTTGCCCACCCCTGATCTAAGGACATATGCAGACAAGGTTCTTTGGGTAAATATGGGCATGTCTACACATCACCTTACAGTGATGTAGCAATGCGCTATGTCACCGTATGGAGGGCTATGGCAATGTAGCGATCATGTGGGTCTACATGTGACCAGCAGCTACATCACTGTAGTGGCACACTCCCCCATTTTAGTGCACTGCTATGGCAACATAGCAGCAGAACCTAACCACATGTTCTGCACATGGTGCAGTACAGGCAGTTACTGTGCCATGCTTTAGCACTTCCGAAAGAAAATGCTAAAGCATGGCACCACAGCAACATTACCGTACAGCAACATGTAGATATGCACAGTGATATCATGTATTAGACCAGCTAAATAGTTGGAAAAATTGTTCTTTGCAAGCTTTTGGGCACAAACACCTTTCTTCAGGCATAGGGAAGTCTGATGGCATGTTGTGTTCTCCTGGATGGAACAGAAGCCAATATGCAGAAATATGGGTCTGTATTTTGCATATTGGTTTCTATTCTGTCCAGAACACTGTCAGACTCTCCCTAAGCCTGAAGACAAGTGTGCGTGCCTGAAAGCTTGCGAAGAACAATTTTTTGTGACTATTTAGTTGGTGTAGTAAAAAGATATCACATTTACCCAAAGGACCTTGTCTGCAATAGGGTTAAAAAATTTCTACTCTTTTAGAGCCAGTGTCCAAAAGACGCCAGACGGTGGCGCTGGCAGAACCCCTATCTGTCAAAAAGGAATTGTATAGCTAATAGGATTTGGGGAATGGTCCTAACTGATTGCTCCGGAGATATCCATGTTGACTGGGGTGGGCAAGCATCCAGAGTTTTGCACACACGGGTGCGCATTTGGATTTCTGATCACTTTATTTGGGGAGAGGAGGGCAAAAGGCAAAAGGAGCGGGTGGCGGGCGGGGCGGGGGGGGGGG